AATGAACAAAAATTGTCCTCATGGAGATTATATTCTCATGAGGCAAGGGGTAAAAAGTACATAAATAAGTAAACATAAAGTATGACAGATGGTGACAAGTGAAATGGGAAAAATAAAGCAGGGAAGGGGCATAGGAAATGTGAGAATGACTGATATGGGATGGGGGGAAAGCAGGCCTCTCTGATAAGATGACATTTCTGTGGAGACCAAAGGTGGTGACTAGGCCAGCCCAGGGAAGAGCTGGAGAAAGGGCATTCCGGACACTAGAAGGAGCAAGTGTGAAAATGCCATGTTGGTGGTGGGTTTGGAATGTTGGAGGCATGGCAAAGAAATCACTAGGCTGGCAAGGAGGGACAAAAGAGAAGGGTGGAGGGAAATGAGGTCAGAAGAGAGAAGGGTGAGACCGTGTAAGGGTCCTGCGGTACTCTGGCTCTCACTCAGTGAGTTAGGGAGACCTGGAGGGCTCTGAGCAAAGCCGTGACATGTATTTTATCAGGACTTGTTTTAAGAGGATCATGCTGGCTACTGTTACCACTAAGCTGTGGCAAAGGGCAGGAGTGGGAACAGAGAATCCAGTTAGGAAGCTATTATAATAATCTAGGTGAGAGATCTGGTGGCTGGCACTGGAGGTGAAAAGAAATAGGGAGTTTCTTGGAGGATATGGCTGATAGGACTTTCTGAGGGACTGGATACAACAGGTGAGAGAAAGCAATAAATTCAAGATTTTTGGCCGAAGTCACTAGAAGGATGACTTTACAGGAAAGACTTTGGGATCACTGGAGGTTCTGTTATGGATGTGGTAAGTTTGAGATGCTTAGAAATCAAATTAAAGAAATGGACTAGGCAGGTAGGTATACAAGTCTAGAGTGTAGAGGAGAGATCTGATCCGGTGACATAGAGTTTGTAGTTATTAGAAGACACATAAGTTATATTTAATGTCAGGAGGCTGGACATGATAACCGGGAACCAAGTATCCCTGCGATAGAGAAGAGGTCTGAGGATTGAGCCTGCAGCTCTCCAGTGCTAAAAGGATGAGGATGTGAGGAGAAATCAGCAAGTGATTCTGATAAGGAAAAGCAAATGAATTAAGAAAGAAAAGTGTCTCGGTAGCCAAATGATGACAGTGGCTCAAAGACAAGGGATGATCAGCTGTATCCAACGTTGCAGTTAGATCAAATACAATGGCACCAGGGAACCGACCACTGGACTTGGTAATGTGGAAATCACTGGTGATCTTGACAAGTAATGGAGGAGAAAGCCTGACTGGTGTGGATTTAAAAGAGAATGAGAAGACAAGAATTGAAGACAATAGATAGAGGCAACTGTTTCAAGGAATTCTGCTAAAATATGAAAGAAGACACCCAAAAGTTCTAAGAAATGGAAGGAGGAGGTATTTGTCTAGGTTTGTAGTGGTAGGAGATATTGCTGACATTTTCCTAGATGATGATATCAACCAAAGTAGCACAGAGTACTTGTTCACCATGGTCTACATACTCTATTTAAAAGTCACACAGACACTTTTCCAGGAGAGAGGGCGACAGGCTGGATCAGCCCTTTCTTTAAACTCCAAAAAGAGCTACTCGGTGGGTGGTCCATGGAAAACAGACAGAGTTGTTAGCCCTATGTGTAAGCATGAAGCCACCTGCAAGGCTGCCCACAACTGCAAAATCATCTCAGTATGATCATCTTTAATGACAAAGATATCTTCTTGGACTGCATGGCAGGTAATATTAGGGCCTTATATTTGAGTTTCTGTATCATGTCCTCATCTTCTTGATAAGAGAATTCCAAGGCATGTTACTTCTTCCTGACCACCACAATACAGTTCTACTATTAATTAAATGCATATGAAGATGGGGCATCTTCTTTAGGAAATTTCTACAGTGAAACCCTAGCTACTGTATCTAATCTGATTCTCCTTTTTAATGCATTGAAGCACAAGTGACTTTAAACCATATGCACCTCTAATTACTGTACTAGAGTAATAGCTGGAACTATTTATGTTAATAACAAACTCCTGAATCTTTTTGTGTTAGGCTGTACTGTTTGTTCACAATTATTCACCCATGCTTCTCTGTAGATACAGTATACTTCTGTGTCCCATTACCCCTGGGACAAAGATAGCAATGTGACTTGCTCTGGCCTCTGGAATGTGAGTAGCCATGATATAAGCCATTTTGAGCAAAAGCCTAAAACATGCTTGTATAGCATAGCTCTTTGTCCCTTTGTGAGCATTTGCCCTCTGCCATGAGAACAAATGGCCTACCTGCTGGATGTTCCTTCAACCTGGGCTCTAGAATGAGGTAATATAAAGAAGCTGGCCAAGCCCAGAGTTCAGCTGAGCCCAGAAACATGGCAGCTGGGCAACATCTTTATGTAACATGACCAGGTATATATGTTTCTGGTTTTAAGTCATTTAGAATTTGGGATTGTTTGTTCCTACAGCAAAAGATGACTGATACACTCTTATAACATAGATTCCTCAAGTGTAAGGACCATATTTGTTCTTTATGATATGTCCTTATACCCAGAACAGTGTTCTGAAAGTGTGGGCTCCTAATAAACACATACATAAGAGGGTAAGATTCCTTTGTCCACTCTTTGGTGTTTGTTAGATAGTTTGGTTGCAAGTTTGGAATCAGCTCATAGTTCCTATCACTGACACACTGGCTGCACCAACACCATATTAAGCTCCTTACAATCATGTTCAAAGTTATTCTCACCCTCCTCATTCCTTGATTTTGCTTTAGTGAGTTATGGCTGACTAACCAAGAAAACCCAAAGAATTTAGGCTTCACAGAAGGGAAATTGGATCTTGGCCATCAGATAGAGTTGACCCTTGAACAATACGACTTGAACTATGTAGGTCCACTTAAAGATACACTTTTCTTTTATAAATACAGAACAGGACTCTAAATGTGGGGGCTTTTTCATATGATTTTCTTTTTTTAAAAAAAGTTTTATTTATTTATTAGAGAGAGAGAGTGGGGGAGGGGTAGAGGGGGAGGGAGAAGCAGACTTCCTGATGAGCAGGGAGCACAACTCAGTACTCCATCCCAGGGCCCTGGGATCACAACCTGAGCCAAAGACAGAGGCTTAATCAACTGAGTCACTCAGGCACCCTCCCTATACGATTTTCTTTTTCTTTTTTTTAAAAAAGACTTTATTTATTTATTCATGAGAGACACACAGAGAGAGGCAGAGATATGTCTCTCTGAGAGACAGAGGGAGAAGCAGGTTCCCCGCAGGGAGCCCGATGCAGGACAAAATCCTGGAACTCTGGGATCACGTCCTGAGCCAAAGGGAGATGCCCAACCCCTGAGTCACCTAGGCATACCTCTATATAATTTTCTTAATAACATTTTCTTTTCTCTAGCTTACTTTATTATAAGGATATATATGAATATAGTATATGTAACACCTATATAAATATGTGTTGACTGACTGTATGTTACCAGCAAGACTTTTGGTCAACAGTAGGCTATTAGTAGTGAAATTTTGGGGGAGTCAAAAGTTAATGTGAATTTTCAACTGCACAAGGTGGGCGTCAACATACTTAATCCCCATATTGTTTAAGGGTCAACGGTATCCTATTTCCATTCCTAGATTCCCTAAAACAGTTAAGGTCAAGTAGAAAGAATTTGTTCCAAATTTATTTGTGTGGCTTAGCTCCACATTTACTTTTGAGTTTAAGACAGGCCACAAACTTTGCCCAGGGGGTCCCACTGTAAAGAAAACATTCCAACTTTTGCCTTCATTTATCTAGTAAATTCCTCTACCTTGTATATGTGTAAAAATTGACGACAATCAACAGTTATATACCAGCTAATCCTTTTTGAGAAGCGGTATTGTATGGAAGGAAAGAGAGTTGGTTTGAAAGCCAGGAGACCTGGTTCTAGCCCTCCTCTGATGTTGGTTAATTAGGTTACTTTGGGAAGATCTTTTCACTATTCTGTGCATGTATGGAAAGAATTGAACAGGTTAATATAAGGTCCTTCACATTTCCATGATAAAGGTTCAGTGTTCAGTGGATTGCTCTGTTTTCCTGTCCTCTGCTCCCATCTCCAAGCTAGTCTGGTTTCAGCCCAGTCTTAAGTATGGGCCAGATCTGATGGAGCTGACTAGAGAGGGAAAAATCTCAGCACACAAATCTAAAATTATGTTCAGGTTGCACCAATAGGTCAAGGAGGAGTGGAATGAGGAGCTCTCTGAAAGCTGACTTAACACCCAGAAGCAACTTGGGCTGTACTTTGTTGGAGCTGATGCTGGTGCCCAAAGCTTCTGTATTCAGGGCCTGGGGCTGAGCCATAGTGGGGCAGGCTTCTGGAGGAAGAGGTCAAAGAAGAGCTGTCCACATGGCTGATACCTGGATAGACAATATCTCTTCAATGCTCTTCTGCCTGATTCAGAGAGCTGAACACCCCCAACCCTTAGGAAAAACCAGTTCTCATGAAGACGTGCAGCCTGTCCATAAATAGGGCTTCTGAAGCCGGAAATATCCCATTTGACATGAAAGAAGGAGACGGTTGAGAGAAATTGCAAATAGAACTTTTTAAACATTCCACTGATGCATTTGATTGTTCTTTGGAAAAACACAGAAAGTAGAGATAATCTCATTGGCTAACATACCTTGCAAGCCTCCGGGATTAGCCTTCTTTGATCACCTGGCTCCTCTGCTGCAAATGTATTTTGATTCCCAGCCCAGGACCTTGGGGGATGGCTCAGATGGCCAAGGGATTGCTTTCTCTGTGTAGCCTGTTTTCATTTCACTGTTTGGCTGCTGTGGATGTTTTTCAGCTGTTTACAGGAGCTGGGACCAGTGTGTTTTAATGGACCCACATCAGAGTTAGGTTTTCTAAAGTAAGGGATTCATTTAAGAAAAAAATGCCTCGATCTATATGGAATAAATGGAATAAATATGTGTTGATTGACCATTCAGCAAAGGACAGCAGAGGATGGTGACAAAATATACTGCAAAGCAGAAGAATGGCTTTACTTACTTGGGACTCCAGACACCAGCCTCAAGGGGCGCAGCACACGGAATGCTCTCAGCGCCTTCACGTCAAATCCAGCTCCTTTTCCTCCTAGAGCATTTGCCCCATCGGCTTTGGTTGCTTGTTCTAAAATTGCACTGAAAAGCCTAGAAGAGAGGAAGAGGAGATGGAGCTATCAGATCCTGAATTCTCTGAAGGAAGCCTGGGATAGCAAAGTTTGCAGGCATCCCCAGCCCAGAAACCAGAGCCAAAGTGTGTTTGTGGGAAGGACTGTGACCATCATAAGATGACATTGCCTCAGTGTGCATATCACTGTGCCAAGGGCATGACCACTGTCCAGGGAGGTCTGAGAGGCAATGGGAAGACCCTTTGCAGTCATAAAGCTGTGCAGGAACACAACTGGTTTTGTGTAAGCTGGGCAGCCTGGACAGTTGCTAAAGTTTGCAGCAGTGCCATGTTATGTCCACAATAACCAAAGAGCCCAGATGTCCACTGACAGATGAATGGATAAAGAAAATATGGTATATATACACAATGGAATATATAAATGGAAATAATAAAATCTTGCCATTTGCAACGACATGGATGGAACTAGAGGATATTATGCTAAGTGAAATAAGTCAGTCAGAGAAAGACAATTATTAATTATATTATGTCATTCCTATGTGGAATTTAAGAAACAAAACAGAGGATCACAGAGAAACAGAGTAAAAGATAAAACAAGAGGAAATCAGAGAGATTTCTTAACTATAAGTAGTAAACTGAAGGTTGTTGGAGGGGAGGTAGGTGAGGGATGGGGTAACTGGGTGACGAGCACTAAGGAGGGCACTTGATGGGATGAACACTGGGTGTTATATAAGAATGATGAATTACTGACCTCTATCTTTGAAACCAATAATACATTATATGTCAATTAATTGAATTTAAATGAATTAAAAAATATTTTTAAAAAGTTTGTTGTAGTGCGTCCGTCCCTTTGGAGTGCCCTCTCCCCAGTCCATGGTTTCCTAGCTCCTGCCTTCACGTGGCTTGGGAGCCACATCTCTCTCTTCCCTACCCACATCCTCAGTCCTAAAAATGCCCCTTAGATTTTGCCTGGGCACAAATAAATGATTCCATAGAAATTGGCTTTGTGCTGCAGATACAAGGATGAGAAACTGAACACTGGCTTTAGCAACATGCAGATTACTGAGGCTTTGAAAACATCTCTTTTGGTGGAGTGATGGGGACAAATGCTTAACAGATATGGGTTCAAGAGAGGATAGGAAGAAAAGTTTGAGATAGCTCTAACAGAAATATAATGCAAGCCACAAATATGAACCATATATGTAATTTAAACTTTCTAGTAGCCACATTAAAAAAAGTAAAAAGAAAACAGGTGAAATTAACTACGATAATATATTTTATTTAATACAGCATAACCAAAATATTATCATTTCAACTGTAATAAATACGAAGAATTTTTAATTCTTCGTAGCAAAGGAGTTTGTCACTCCTTTTGTACTGAATCTTTGAAATCTGCTGTGTATTTTACATGGACATTATATTTTAATTTAGATTAGCCACATTTCAAGTACTGAGTGGCCACAGCATAGACAACCCTTCTGAGGAATTTTACTATTAAAAGGTAGTAGAATGGGCATTGAGGGGAGCACTTGACAGGATGAGCACTCGGTGATATGCTATATATTGGCAAATTGAACTCCAATAAAACATTTTTTAAAAAAAAGGTAATAGAGGGTAGCCCAGATGGCTCAGTGGTTTAGCACTGCCTTCGACCCAGGGCATGATCCTGGAGATCCGGGATCAAGTCCCACGTTGGGTTCCTGCGTGGGGCCTGCTTCTCCCTCTGCCTGTGTCTCTGCCTCTCTCTCTCTCTCTCCTCTGTGTCTGTCATGAATAAATAAATAAAATCTTTTAAAAAAAAGTTAGTAAAAGAAAAAAGATGGTTGCCAGAAGAGGGTGTGAAATCAAGAGGGTTGTGTTTGTTTTTAAACGGGAGAAACAGCAGCATTTTTATATGTGATGGGAGTTATGTAACAGAGACAGACAATCTGACCATGCAGAAGTGAGAGGACAATTACTGGGAGGATTGATATCCTTCAGGAGGCAGGGAGGAATCTCCTGCACCCTGAGGGGTACTGGCCCTAGACAGGGGAAGGGATGGTTTATCATGGCTCAAGTGGGAAGGCACATTATAGGGGTACAGACGTTTTTTTCCTGATTATACCTGTTTTCATAGGGAAACAGGTAGCAAGGTCATTGGCTTTTCACATTGAAAATGTGAAAGGGGAGCAGGTATTGGAAGTTTAGAGGAGGCAAAGGTATAAGAATCACCAAAGAAAGCAGAAGAGTGAATGGGCTAGGCACATAGAATAGGTTTGTCAGGTATCCTCAAGGACCTATTTGAAGTTGGTTATCACAGGTGTAAAGTGAAACCCATCAACTCAGCTTTGCATGTTTCTTTACCCCTTTCAATGGCATAGCTCCAGGTAGCAGGTGGCTCTCTATCTAGTTGGATTCGACTGGAGTTGGTGTTTTTCCAAATGAGCAAGGTAAATGGAGAAAGAAGGATGTTGACTGTGCATGTAAGTGAGAGATTGTGCTGGGGCTGGGCATCTAAGCTGGTTGAAAGGAGAACTGGACATGATGGGCAGAGGAACAGAGAGAATGGAACAGGAAGAATGGATTGTCAGAGTCAAAGTGCTAGAGGGAGAGAGCTGGAAATACCGATGGTAGTGTTTCCAGAGTAGAATGTTTGGATTGAGACTATGGGAGAGGGAGCAGTTGTTAGTTATGGCAGGGATATTGGCTATAACCATGGGAGTGGGCAATTGAGACAGGACAGAGTCAGGATTCCTGGGGGGGGGGGGAATATCAAGGAGCCAAGAAGATACTGGAGGGGATAGCAGGAATAGCGAGTTTGGACAGACTTGGGAGTGAGCCAAGAGCTCATGTCTTCAAGGAATGAGGAGTCCCTAGAGGCCTATAGAGTACCCCCCACAAAGAGAAGTAAGGGTGGAAGGGTCTGATCACACACATCAGAACTGGAGTTTGCTAGGAAGGGGGAAGGGCCAGCAGCCCGAAAGCAGAAATAAGAGAAATTCAGGGCTCCTCTCCGGACTCTGGGCTGTGGATCAAGGCACTTGGGAGAGAGTGGCCATCTCTTGAGAGATTGCAATGAAGCAAGACCCTTGGAAGAGCCAGGAAGTTAAGTGAGTGGCTAGAGACAAAGCTGAAGGTTTAGGGCAGCATTTGGGCCATCTGCTTATCTGCAAGTGCAATTTTGTTGGAGTGCAGCTCCATCATTTATGCACTGCTGTTGTCTGTTGCTGTTTCCTCACTAGGGTTGAATAGTTGGGACAAAGTGTGAGCTGAAAATGAGTATCTGGCCCTTTATAGAAAATGTTTGCTGACCCCTGAATGGGCAGTGACCTGTGAGGAGCAGAAGGCACAGTGGAAAGGTCTCAGGGGGATGGCTAGGGAGAGGGGGCACAGGATGCAAACAAAGCGCCATGTGGGGATGGGAACCTGGGATCTTGGGCTTTTTGTGGTTAACAAGAAAAAGAAGGAATTCGACATGGGGCAATTTCTGTCCTTTGTACTAAAGATGATTACCAATTCACTGTCAGCAGAGTGTGTGCTGGGTCATGGCCTAGGGTCACAAAGGAAGCCCAGGGATCAGGACCAGGTCCCCATACTTGAGGCCAGGCCAACCTTGTTCTAGAGAAATAGGCTTGAGCTCCTGAAATGACTCATGCTCAGGGAACTGGATCTGGAAATAGAAGAGGCCGTAGCCAGGGGCTTAGCTTTGCAGAAACTCATATCAAGGCAGGACCCAGGAATGGGGAGGTTGACCTAGATTAAGAATTTCCAAACTCTGCTCCATGGAACTCCTTGAGGACCTCTTGGACATCAAGGCCAGAGATAAGTGGCTGGAATAGAGTGGCTTTCATGGGTCTCTGAGTAAGGCTTTGCTTGAACAATGGGTTCTGAAGCTAAAAGAACTTTGACAACTCTAGCCAGACCACATCTAAAGTCCTTCTCAGTGCTGTGATTCTTTCAGCTTAGCTTGGCAATTTGATGGTGTCATATGTTAGCTGGTGATGCCCTGAACCCCAGGCAGAGTTGCCAGGATGGGGGAATCGGGCTTCTTTCTCTGCAGAGAAATGTTCTTTCCACTGAAGTCTAGATCAGTGAAATCTCAGAAAATGGAGACCAGCTTTGCAAGTCTGTCCAACAACATTCCAAATCCAAGCCATATTTGGCTCCTAGTATTTCCTGGAAGAAAGCAATATGCTTATTAGGGTGCAAGATGTTCACAAAATATTATTTATTGAAGGAAACAGAGGTTCGACAACTTTCTTCTCTTTTCTCTGTCCCAACTTAAAGCAGACACTTTATTAAGTGTCTAATTTTAATTTTGAAGGGGTAAAAATATTCAGGAATGGGTCTAGGAGATGTTCCTGGCTTGTTGGGTCTGGTGTGATTCTCCTTGATTAGATACTATAAAGCTACTGCTTGGTGCCTACCTGTCACTAAGGGCTGGATGCTTGGTGACAGGGAGGTAGGGGTGAGGATTCTCCAGGAGTTGTGTCTCGCAGTTCCTTAGCCAGACATTGGAGTTTTTAAAAAGAGACAATGAGGCTCTAGAGGATCCAGAAAATCAGAAAGGCAGGGCCACCATACTGCAAGAGAGATAGTAGCAAAAGCCCTTGTGGTTGAAATAGAATGTCTCAGGCAGGGGGATTTAGTGAGGATCCCTAGGTCCCTGGGTTGGGGTGGGGAGAGGTAGCTCACAGAGGCCTCTGAAGTAACTCAGCAGTTACTTTCCCCTCCTCCTACTTTCACTCAGCAGTTCCATTTCCCCACTGTACCAAAGAGACCCTTCCACTTTCAGAAGAAAATATGACAGGTTTGTGGGGGTTAAGAAATGCCTCTTATCACAGGCTTCCAGCATGGCAATGCAGAAATGAGAGAGCAGCTTTCTGCCTGGCACTCAGACAGTAGGCAGGCAAACCCAGCTTTTCCAGGGCAAGGCACATTCCCTTCTGATTGCAGGAGGGCAGAAGAAATTTTCCCCTAAGTGGCTGCAGAGGAGCCCAAGAGAGTAGGTATTTCCCAGGAGACATAAGGGAAGCAGAGGGATATCCATTTTATATGATTTTAAAAAAAGGGCAGGGAAAAGAGGCATAGCTGAAGAGAGGAGGTTGAGCTACACCGTGTGTGTGTGTGTGTGTGTGTGTGTGTGTGTGTTTCCAGTTAGAAGGATGGGCCAAGATTTAGACTAGACAGAGAGCCCCTAGGACAAATGCCCTTAGAGAAGAGAAAGTAGGTGTCAAATATGTCCATGTGTGATATTAGTGGGGAGGAAGCCCAAAGGCTTATGGTGAACCACAAGCTAAGTAACCTCTAGTATCATGACCTCTGTGGCTTAAACAGTCAACCAGAGGCATCTTTTGGAAGAGGGCCAAGTCTAGATGCTTTCCTCTTCATCAGCCTCATGGCCTAGAACCCAGGAAGATGTGACTGAAATATGGGTTGTCCCCACAAAGTCTGCCCTCTGTGGTTACTGGGAGGAACAGTAGGGTGAGGGATACAGCAAGGTCCAAACAAGCAAAAGATGAGCAAGGGTCACCAAGTGTGCAGCTGCATGATAAGGCATATGATCCCCCCATCTCATAGCTCCTGTTTGAGCTCTGACCCGTACTTCTTCTTTCTACCTCCCAGGCTGTAGGGAAGGCCATGAAGAGGGCAGACAACTCCAACTCATTCCATAAACATGAGAGGAAGAGCTTCTCTACCTAAATAAAATTAGTTCCCGAAGGTACCCTTCTCCCTTATCATGTCATTCCTGGGGCTCTTTTCTATGCATGTGTGAAAGGTTCCCAAGAGTCTGAGGCCTTGAGAAATACATTGAATTTTAAAGGACTAGGGGCCTTTGGAACAAGGCACCTTAAATGCCTTTGCTAGGTTTACTGACTTATTTCAAGGCATTTATTTGTTCAGTTACTCTTTTGTTTATCCTGGTGTGAACAGAAGCAGCAAGATCTCTTACAGCTGCATCCTCACTCTGAGTCCTCAGGAGCCGGATCTATGCCTGGCAAATACTCCAACAACTTTAGTGCTTCTCATGTTACCCAAATATCCTTTGGAGTTAATGTGGCCAAAGTGTGTCATTCATTGGCTATGCAAAAAAAGACAACAAAGAAAACCTCTAAAACAGTTTGAAACAACCTTTATAAGTCATCCAGATGCCCAGATACAAGGAAATAACTTCTAAATGGTCTTGATTTGCTCTTGCTATTTCCTGCAGAAAGACCATACACTCACATGAGATAACCAGCAGTAAGTGCTCTGGAAGAGTCCAGAAGGACCTGTGTCTTCACTGGGATGGCACAAATGGTGCCAATCAAAAATAGGTTCCTGGGATATGAGCCTAATGACATACTGTAGCCTGTTGGAACACCAAGGGAATAAAAATTCAAGGTGGTCACCACATGACCACTCTTCAGGCTCAGAGAAACAACAAATTAGCTCAGAGAAGCCAGCTTGTTCTGATGTAGAATCTGCTGTAAAGGTGCTCTCCTTTCATAAAATAGATAAGTGGTTGGAACTTCATCAACTGTGTCTTAATAAACTATGTTTCACATAGCACATGTATAAATATTTCACAGAGGATCTTTTGATAAAGTTACTAATTCTTAGATAAGGAGATCATCACTTCCAAATTTTATTTTATGATACTTTACATTGCCTTTTTTTAAAGGCTATATTGATCTTGCTTTATCTTATGCTACAGTAGAATAGCATGTTTGGGGAAGGTGTGTTTGGTTCTACTTATGCCACCAGAACCTTGGCTCTTCATAGTTCTGTCTTCTCCTCATCCACCCACCTCAATAGGCCTGTTTCCTGGGGCCCTGGATGAAGCCCACCATAGAGGTGAGAGCGAGCATCCATAGTACCTTGTATTTCAGCTGCGCCCCCACCCCCATGTCCATGTGCTGCTTGCAGGCAAACTGGACTAAACCCTGCTCAGGGACACAGCCGGGGAACTGCCTGAAGAGCTGTCTTGTCAGACAGATGCAGCTGGAGATGGAATAAAAGACCTTAAGCAGGGGAATCTCTTTGGCCGCACAGAGGACTCTGAGTTCCATTAAAAGCACTCAGATTCTACTCTCTCTCTCTCCTCTCTCTCTCTCTCTCTTGTGTGTGTGTGTGTGTGTGATTGTTCCTAAGTGAGAGCTCTTTTCACTTTGGAGAAAGTCTGGATTCAAAGTGATTTTTAATGGATCCTCTCATCTTGCCTAGTGCCCAGTGCCATTGTGACCAAATCAAAAAGGGATACAAATACAGAAGGAAAAGGAGGCACGTGTTGGTGGATGGTGAGGCGTGAAGGTATAAAGGTATATATATATATATAAAGGTAGTTATACTTACCCTACAACCACAATTATAAAATCTAGTAAATTCCAACCATTGCGGAGGTAAGCGTTGGGGTGAAAGAGAAGTCCATAGGCTATTACTTTTAAAAATGCTTCCACAGTAAAAATTATGAGAAAGAGATATTCCACTCGTTCCTAGGAAACAAAAACAGAGGGAGAGAAAAATAAAGTCAATGGGATTGGAGATCTGTAAAGTTCTGAAATAGCAGATCTCACAAGCAGGTGGAGGAGAGTGTGTTGCCCCCTCTGTGGCAGGATCTAGGGGAACACTGGGTAGGACCCTCAAGCCAGATTACCAACTTCACAGTCTGTTCCAAACTTAGAGCTCCACTTCATTGCGCATTAAGGGTTTTTTTAGTCTTCAAATGTCCCCTGTTAAAATGCAAGTGTTAGGGTGGTAGAAGAGTTACACATTTTAGAGCAATATCTTATGTAGTTAATCAGTAAATACTGTTGGCAAATTGAATTCAGATAAAATATTTTTAAAAATTCGCACACACACAAAATCAGTGGATGTTTCATTGTACCTTCTCAGAAGAGAAGTCAGAATGTCTTGATCTAGAGGGAAATGATGCCAGGACAGAGGAGTATAGTGCTCAGAAAAGAGGGGACAGTACTACAGGAAAAAGTGCACCATAACCTTGAGGTAACAAACCCTGAAGATAACAGAAACCATTTTGGGGGAAGGTACTAACCACATTCTCCAAAATGATAGACCAGAAATATGGCCGCAAAGAAGTTGAGGCATTGAAAATCTCCCACAGCAGGTGAAACACAGGCAATCTGCTCATATACACTGACCCTGGACCTGAAGTCTGTCTCTTTCTTGAGAAAATAAAAATCTTTGTCCAAAGACATACACTTGTCCAAAGACAGAGGAAGATCAGCATTTCCAGGATGGAGGCAGGCACTGAGGTGGGGCAGTGAAGAGAAAAGGCACATCTCTTTTCTCAAGGGGTGGAAGGTAGTGTTTTTCCTCCTTCTGCCACCTTGAGGAAGACTTGGCATTTAAGGATGAAACTGCTGTCCCTGGGAGCCCACACTTAACAGGACAAACTTGTTGGCTCAATTAGAGCGAGCCGACTCTGTGCTGATTCACTTGGCTTCCCTCACCACTAATTGCTTTCTCCCGCAACCTTATTCCCAGTGCAGAGCCTTAATAGTCCCCACCAGGCGAAGTCTGCCTGGATGCCTACCTGCTCCACTGCTCACCTTTGCAGGAGCCTCAGCCCATCTCTCACTGGAGCCACAAAACACTAGTCCACATGGCATTCGGCCACAGATCCTCCAAGCAGGACACGCCCAATCACAGCCCCCAGGAGGCAGCAGGCTCAGAACTCCTGAACCTAACTTCCCATCCTGTTGGGTCAGATGGAGCTCATGGAAGACCTCCAGGTCATACCCACACTGTGGAGACAGGGCATCACCTGATCCCAGCCTAGATTGCTGGAAAGGTGCTCCAAGACTGGGGGCATTGGAGCCTGATGGGGAGCTCTGTGGGGAGAGGTCAGCCCACACAGAAGCCTGTGCTCCTATCCATTCTTTCCTGATTTTCTAGACCTGGAATAAGTGCTCATCTCACCATGCCCATCTCAAGGTGAAGCAGTTTGAGAATGCAAAGTAAATAAATGCAGAATTCTGGGCCCTACCCAGACCTATTGAAGCAGGTCTCCCAGCTATGGAGCCAGGAAAAGTGCATTGCAGACAATTTCAGGCATTTCTGAGGCACCCTAAAGTTTAAGAACCACTGATCCATGTACCGATGAAGACCCTGATCAGGCAGGAGCTGTGGGAAGGGAATAGAGAGACCAGCATTAACTAGCACCTCAGAGGCAAGCTTATCTTTTACTCACTACCCATTACAGAATCATAAAGTTGGTCTGGGCACATGGCTGCCTGGGGTGGGGGAGCATGACCCAGGAACAATTAGTATTATGTGGGAACCTCTAGTCTTTAAAAATTAGGTGATGTAAAAAAAAATTAGGTGATGTTGGGTTAAAGTGTCCATCATTGAAAGGGAAAGCATGTTACAAAAGGGTATAGTGCAACCTGAGGGAACTTATGGAAAGTGTGTGTGTGGAGAACGTTAGGTAATGCTGGCATCTGATCAGCTGGAGTGAAAACAATGGGGCTGGAGAGGTGGCCAGGAGTAAGATGACCAGGGGCTTTGTGGCTACATCTGGGTGCTTGGATTCTATTCTGAGGAGATCGTGAATGATGGACATTCATCATACAGTAGTCTGTCATGGACCTAGAGAGCGAGGGTGGTGATGGGATTGGAGGGAGTCAGGGTGGTGACCCATGCAGAGATCATGGAGGCTTGAGCCAAGATAGACATCAGGATTGGTGAAAACTAGGTGGGTCTGAGAGATAGAAAGGATGTGATTTGGTTTCTGGTTGCATGTAGGGGTTGGGGGAAGAGGCGGCAAAAGAACTACTGCCCCCCTCCCTGAGTTTTCTAACTTGGGTGACTCTGGATGGTGATGCCTCTCACTGCAGGGGGAGACTTCGGGGGAGGGACATCAGTTCCAGGTTTGCTGAATTAAAGCATTTGTGGGACATTCAGTCAGGGCTACTGGTGATCAGGTATAGAGGGTTTTGGGGGAGTTCAGCTTGCAGGGGGGGGGGGGGGGCTAAAGTAGGTTGCCCTGGTACAACATGCCTAAAAAGAGGAGAGATGAGGCCGGAATCCCTCTACATGAGGGGCAATCTCATCCCCTGGAAACCACTTTCATATTATAGGAATGTACTTCCTTAGCAGAAGTTATAGGATCCTGCTTAAAGCCATTGGGTCAGAGAGAGAGAATTTTGGAGGGTATCTAATTAACCACTTCACAATCTAGAAGAAATGTATGCATTTCTGGAAAACCACAAATTACCAAAACTGGAACAGGAAGAAATAGAAAACCTGAACAGGCCAATAACCAGGGAGGAAATTGAAGCAGTCATCAAAAACCTCCCAAGACACAAAAGTCCAGGGCCAGATGGCTTCCCAGGGGAATTCTATCAAACGTTTAAAGAAGAAACAAAACCTATTCTACTAAAGCTGTTCCAAAAGATAGAAAAGGATGCAATACTTCCAAACTCATTTTATGAGGCCAGCATCACCTTAATTCCAAAACCAGACAAAGGCCCCACCAAAAAGGAGAATTATAGGCCAATATCCCCGATGAGCACAAATGCAAAAATTATCAACAAGATACTAGCCAATAGGATCCAACAGTACATTAAGAAGATTATTCACCATGACCAAGTGGAATTTATCCCTGGGATGCAAGGTTGGTTCAACACTTGTAAAACAATCAACGTGATAGATCATAGCAACAAGAGAAAAAACAAGAACCATATGATTCTCTCAATAGATGCAGAGAAAGCATTTGACAAAATACAGCATCCATTCCTGATCAAAGCTCTTCGGAGTGTAGGGATAGAGGGAACATTCCTCAGCATCGTAAAAGCCATCTATGAAAAGCCCACAGCAAATATCATTCTCAATTGGGAAACACTGGGAGCCTTTCCCCTAAGATCAGGAACACGACAGGGATGTCCACTCTCACCACTGCTATTCAACATAGTACTAGAAGTCCTAGCCTCAGCAATCAGGCAACAAAAAGAAATAAAAGGCATTCAAATTGGCAAAGAAGAAGTCACACTCTCCCTCTTTGCAGATGACATGATACTGTACATAGAAAACCCAAAAGACTCCACCCCAAGATTGCTAGAACTCATACAGCAATTCAGCAATGTGGCAGGATACAAAATCAATGCCCAGAAATCAGTGGCATTTCTATACACTAACAATGAGACTGAAGAAAGAGAAATTAAGGAATTAATTCCATTTACAATTATACCCAAAAGCATAAGATAACTAGAAATAAACCTAACCAAAGAGGTAAAAGGATCTATACCCTAAAAACTACAGAAAACTTCTGAAAGAAATTGGGGAAGACACAAAGAGATGGAAAAATATTCCATGCTCATGGATTGGAAGAATTAATATTGTGAAAATGTCAATGCTACGGCAATTTACACATTCAATGCAATCCCTATCAAAATACCATGGACTTTCTTCAGAGACTTAGAACAAATTTGGAGTGGAACAAAGATTTGTGTGGAATCAGAAAAGAGCCCGAATAGCCAGGGGAGTATTGAAAAAGAAAACCATATCTGGGGGCATCACAATGCCAGATTTCAGGTTGTACTACAAAGCTGTGGCCATCAAGACAGTGTGGTACTGGCACAAAAACAGACACATAGATCAATGGAACAGAATAGAGAACCCAGAAGTGGACCCTCAACTTTATGGTAAACTAATGTTCAACAAAGCAGGAAAGACTATTCACTGGAAAAAGGACAGTCTCTTCAATAAATGGTGCTGGGAAAACTGGACATGCACATGCAGAAGAATGAAACTAGACCACTCTCTTGCACCATACACAAAGATAAACTCAAAATGGATGAAAGATCTAAATGTGAGACAAGATTCCATCAAAATCCTAGAGGAGAACACAGACAACAAACACCGTTTTTGAACTTGGCCACAGCAACGTCTTGCAAGAGACATCTATGAAGGCAAGGGAAACAAAAGCAAAAATGAACTATTGGACTTAATCAGGATAAAAAGCCTCTCTGCAGAGCAAAAGAAACAGTCAACAAAATTAAAAAACAACCTACAGAATGGGAGAAGATATTTGCTAATGACATAGCAGATAAAGGGCTAGTATCCAAGATCTATAAAGAACTTATTAAACTCAACAGCAAAAACAAACAAACAAACAAACAAACAAACAATCCAATCATGAAATGGGCAAAAGACATGAAGAGAAATTTCACAGAGGAAGACATAGACATGGCCAACAAGTACATGAGAAAATGCTCCACATCACTGGCCATCAGGGAAATACAAATCAGAACCACAATGAGATACCACTTCATCAACAAGACAGGAAACAACAAATGTTGGAGAGGATGTGGAGAAAGGGGAACCCTCTTGTAATGTTGGTGGGAATGTGAACTGGTGCAGCCACTCTGGAAAACTGTGTGGAGGTTCCTCAAAGAGTTAAAAATAGAGCTACCTCCTACCCAGAAATTGCACTACTGTGGATTTACCCCAAATATATAGATGCAGTGAAACA